TTAATTGTTTTTCCATGGACCCCTTTGACAAGGTGTGGAAGGACTGTAGAGTTTTCAGTTTATAGCCTAATAAAGAAGCTCCTAACCAGTCCTGGCTTTAAATTCAAAAAATAAAGTCTTATTTTAATCAGTAGGAGTGAGGAGACTCACTCTCTCACTGCCAGTGTTTAATGAAACTTTAACCTTCCCTGTTATGTTTTTCATTTCTTCTCTCCTCTCCTCTCTCTCCTCTCCTCTCCTCTCCTCTCCTATTTCTCTTTCTTCTTTTCCTTTTCTTTTTTCTTTTTTCTTTTTTTTCTTTTTTTCTTTTTCTTTTTTCTTTTTTTTTTTTTTGATAGAAGTTGCTACAGCTGGCTTTGCTTCCCTGGAGGACAGCTAGTCTCTCTTAAGTAATGCCTCATAAAAGAGCATGTGCACAGAAGGACACATAGCCTATGTTAAATGCATCCCGAGACTTCTCATGCTTAGTCCTGGAATGGGAGAAATCCCACAGCGTTATTCCACTTGCATCTCACATGCATATGCATGGCTGCAATGAGTACAAACAAGAACAGCTGTTTCCTTCAAAATCAGTTTAAGTCTCCAGGATTTCTGAGTCACTTTGTTATGACTGTAAAACAAGGATATGAATGAAGGTATCTTACACCGGGGGAGACAGCTGGGCTGGTGGGAGTAGGAAGAGTTGCAACAATTACAGCAATACTCGTTGGGCTTATTACAACTAAACTGTGGGCTCAGTGGGGTGCTATTTCCAAAATCTGTTCATTCAGCCAAAGTTCAGGGGGGAGTTGGAGGTCCTGTGTTGGCAGGAATCCTAAGGAAAATCTGCCCAATTCCCGGTCAGCCCAACCAGTCTGCCCCCAGATAATTTGCTTGGTAAACCACTGAGAAGCCAAGAACTTGGCAGCCACACAAACTCCCTTCCCCAAGCCCAAGCCCAAACCCAAGCATCTGAGAATGGCCAAAGCCTGAGCAGTCCCAGGCCTCCAGCTTGTACCACTCCCAGAGAGCCCAGCAGATGGGCTGACCTCAATCTAGGCTCCATAACTTTGAATTGCAGAGAAATTTGGAAGTGTCTCTTATTTTAAATCAGAGTGACAACAAATTTAAAATTATCAATGCCTTCTTACAAGCAAAATTATGTTTACTCATCCAGACACAAGCAGAACTTGAAGGGCTTGGGAATTTTAGACTCTTCTGCCAGATTTCTTCGAAAACATTATCCATTCCCAAATCTTGGTCAGGCAGGAAAAAATAAAATATGTTTTTATACATTTGGGCAAGACCCAGATGTATAAAAATGTCTTTTGTGACAACATAGAGCAAAATTAACATTGTACTTTTCACAGAGATTCTGGTGAATAAATATGCAAGCACAATTTAGTTATTTATTTATTTTTATTTAATATCCAAATTTCTGAAAGTTCCCATTGAGAAATCCAAAGTTTTAAATAATATTCTGGTATAAAAATATAGTCCTTGAGATTAAAACTTCCATACTATTACCTCCAAATAAATAAAATTACATCAGACACACTTAAATGATCCAGTACAAAAAAATACAGAACTTCTCAAAATCAGTGAGTTGAAGTTAAGTCAGTGCAGTAGAGTTTGTCACATATCCTGGAGTTGCTAAGTAGCCTGGCCTTCTGGTAACTTCAGTGCATAACAATAATTACCAGCAATCAATCATCAATCCCCTAGTTCAGAAAAGTGCTTCAGCATTTGCTTAGCTTTAAGCATGTCTAGTTCCTCCATTTGGATTTAGATATGCTCAGAAGTAAGCAGATATGAATATGTTTTCCTGAGTACAGATACTTCCCCATACTGGTGCTTGCATCTCCATGCCAAATAGATGAATGATGAGACCAGTCTTATAACATCTCTCTCTCAAGACAGCACCAGATGGAAAGCTGGGTACTGTATCATGTCATTTCAGGATTTCCATATGGAAACTAGGTAAACATTGCCTCATTCTGTATTTTCAGATCAACAAACATATAACAGATAGACAGGATTTTAAGACAAAGTCATTTCTTATATAGTAGTAGGAAGTATAAATACTTTGGTTGGTGTTTCTTTATAAATAATTATATAAAATACTTAAATATTAATAAATAAATGTATAAAAACTCAATAAAAAGATTGAAATAAAAAATGTGCATCATCATTAAATTTGCACAATAACTCTGTACTAAAGGTCAGATCATGTCATTAGCATCTGCACCTCCTTTTCCTTTTGAGAGAAGTTGAAGTCTCCATCAGTTTTTGTAAGACACTGAACAGCTCATTCACAGCTTTGCGTTGAATTTTCAAGTCACTCATCTGTTTTAAATAAGAAACAAATGGAATGAAGGTCATGCCAAGAGCAATAATTTATTTACTGATCACATCCTACAAGGCTACACTGCTACCAGGGTAAACCAGGTGGACATCCGCAGTTTCCAATTACTCTACCACCTAATTCCTGCAACAAAGAGCCACTTTGTCACAGATTTTTGTTTTCCACTTTCTGTGCTACTTCGCAACGTGCTACAGACCAGCTATATTCTGTGAAGCGGAGCTACTCTACAGTTATTGCAGTGATACCCACAGGCAGCTGACTCCACCAGGGTATGGGCTGCGGACTTCTGCAGAAGTCGGGGGTTCACACTGTTGCCACTCACTCGATAAGCCAAGTGCCTCCAAAGCCCACGGAGGCACACCATAGCTGGGCATAACTTTCCTACCCTTTTTCTAAACCACAAGCAGACGTGTCTCTGGTGGGCAGATGGCACAGCAGCACTGCTGGCACCTCTGTGCTAGGCGCCAGCAAGACTCGGGGAAGGCGGCCCCCGTGCTGACACCCCACACCACAGACCTGCAGCAGCCCCTGCAGCTGGAAACATTAGGTTTTCTAGTGCAAACTGAACCAGACGGGGGTTACCAGATGGGTTGCTGAAGCATTATTGGCTTGAGTCACACTCAAATCACAACTGGAAAATATAGTGTCATGAGCCTTGGAGGCAGAGGAAGAGCCTTACCTGAAGCTTTGCCAGGTCCATGAGGTCTTTCATCTTCTTTAGGCCGTCGGGAAGGCTGTTTTTCAGAGTATAGAGCTCCTCGGATATGTGCCTGACATGCGCCTTTGATTTGTCAGTGTTTTCAAGCATTTCCAAGTACATTGAAACAATCTGACTCAGGATGATCCTTTTTTCATTTCTCTGTTGAAAAATAGTCAGAAAGAAAGGTCTGTGAGTGCCCATCAGCAGGAAAATGAACAAAAATAAAACACAGCACACTGCCACTTGAAACAAGATAATAAAGATGCTGCAACTCATCTCCTGGGTTTGGCTGAACCTCAAGATCGGTTCATGGTGCAGTATAAAGCACCTTGATCCTTACAGGAAGCATTTTTATGGGGATGGTTTCCTCATTCCCAAGCTACTGAAGCGACCCCTACTCCTGTTTGTTCTACCCCAGCTGGTTACGCTGGCCCTGGGAGCTGCTTTGTACCAAAAGTGCCCCGCAAAGCACCTGAGATGCTTTGTCATATCTGGCTCTGACTCACCTCTGTCCAGTTTATCAGTTTCTCTGTAAAAATAGGTCCACCGTCAGCTACATCTGAATTACTTGAGTTCTGCAACAAAGAACAAATGTATGTGTTATACAAACAATACTTATCACAAGGCAAATTTGTGTTCTCTATTCAAATGAGCAGTAAAAACCAGAGACGTGATTTTTGCACCGCTGGCCTGTAACTATTACAATGCTTTCACTTTTCTAAGCACCAAATCACATCGGATGACTGCCTGTACCAGAAACGGCATTAGTCTTCTTTTCAATGTCTTCTCCTGCTATAACTCATCTGAATAGAGACATTTAGCACCATCTATTTTACCAAACACTCCTTGCAAGTTCTGCTATTGACAGCTGAAAATTAAACTTTATAAGCTAGACTTTATACGCTTAAACTTTATAACTGGCTAGAAAATTGTCAGGTCTGATTTTGGCATGTTTTCTGGTAAGTCAAAGTCCACCAGTATGTAGTCTGTGGCCTTGAATTTATCCAGTCTTAGTAAAATCTCATATGGAACAAGAACAAATTAACTTCACTATGAAACTGCAGTTTGTAGCAATGGAGAATGGCCCAGTAGCCCACAGTCAGGCATGGGGATATACAAGGTTAGTGGCTACTGGGAGGCTCACGGGGATGGAGTTTAACCATCAGATGTTAGCCACACACTGTGGCAGATTCTAAGAAAAAAAGAGCAATACAATTCTCCTACCAAGGAAAGGTAAACTGAATCATTTCCTCTTCTGTGTGTGTCTGTCTTTTTTTTTCTTTTTGTATACAACAGTCACTATTTCCTTTTTTTGTCTGCTCAGTAATTTAAATACAGCCAGTGCAAAGGGAAAACTTGCAGGCTGACAGAAACCTCGTAGGCTGATTGGGTCCCCGTGCTGAGCACATTGCCAGCCCTTGTTTTGCTGTTCTTCTGAAAGGTGGGGAGCACCTGCTGTGGACCGGAGTTTTTCACATCAGTGCAAGAAGCTCACCACAGCTCAAGGTCTCTCTGACAGTGTTATATATATTCTAGTGAGAATCTCTCTGATCTATGTCAATGACCAATTTAAGATACAATGCCAATTTTACAGCCCGTTTCCTATCAGTCTGCAAACACTGAAGTATCATACTAGGCTTCTGTGTCTGAAACTTCAGGGTGATTTTTGACTACTAAATTTCAACTTTTATATGCACATAATTCTGACAAAATCAGAGCTGAAAATAGGAGCAGACTCTTGCAGTTGCTTTCATGCATTTAAGGGGGGAAAAAAAAGCCAAAAATATATTAAGAATAAAAGCTGTTAATTAGAAGCAACTCTGCTGTAGATCTGTTATCTCTATGACTAATCCCAGCTGAAGTCAACTGTGAACTACTCTAATGCCTCCTAGATGAAGATAGGTGAATTAACAATACAGCTAGCAAGTTATCAAAATTCTGCCTGAAAAGAAGTAATATCATGCTGGATAACATTCCCATGCTGGATCATAGTCAGAGACATGGAAGCAGAAGGACTGGAGGATGCAAAAGAATTAGCAGCAGGAACCACCTTTGGGCAACACACTATTACTATTACTACTATTACTACTACTACTACTACTACTACTACTACTACTACTACTAAGTACCGATGCATTTGTTAAAGCAAAAATTCTTCTCTGTTTTATTTTGCTAACTAAGACTAAATCCCCCTTTAACGTTAATAACCTAAAACTAAAAAAGTGTCAGTAAATTGTATCTGAATATAATTGAATCAAGATTCATTCATTCGTCATAAATTGCACTAAGACTTTTTGCTGTGAAACATTCCATGTAATCAAAGGCTGAATGGAGCTAGGAGAAACTCTTGTGAAAGGAAGAATGCCCCTGAAATAAATGCAAACTACTACATTAATTATGACTATTTAAAAACTGAATCATGTTAGTAAAAGAGCTTAGCAAAACCAAAGAGATTGCCCATATTTTGTTTAAAAAAAAGATATAACCAAAAAATATGTTACCCTCCATTGGAACACATTGAGTATGTCAAGCAGTGCTCAAGTCTGGACTATATCTAAAGCACAAGCAGAATGAGAAGAGAAATGCAGTGGAAGACCATACTTACAAAGTCAGCTTTCAGTTGGTCTATATCATTTTGAAGTTGAGCAAGAATTAAGCTGTTTCCAAAACGTCCAAAACAAATCATGACGACAGACAGAACAAAAAAGCTGTAGGTCTGGCAAGTCATTTTCTTGGTCACAGTTCAGTTAAAATGCTCAGATAAGTTCTGGTAGATGTTAGTTCTAAGAGCAGTGAGCTTCAACTTCTAATAGCTAAATCTTCTATTAGAAGAAAGTAGACGAATGAACTTCATCTGCCTGTCAGTGGTATTTATACCTGGTCTTGAAATTTTTTATTTCGTCATCACAGGCTGTGTATATTTAGACAAGATAGTGTCAGATAAGAACCTTCGGTTTTGGCTAATCAAGGGAATCCCTCGAAAGCATCTTTCTTAAAGCATGGTCCTGGAAAAATTTTCAGTGGTTCGTCAATGGGTAACATTTACGTGGCAGATTCTGAAGTTTCTTTTACACGTGGTTGGGGGAAAGGGGGAAATTATGATACTGGTTGAGGAGTGTGCATTGTGGCTCAAACATATTCTTACACACTATCTGAAAAAAATCGTATCATGTGGTTAAAGGGTCAGTATAACAGTCAACTCATTTGTGGTATTCTTTTAAAGTAACCTCTGAGATTGCCATGGCATTCTTCAGGGTCACTTAGAGATCTAAATGTCCTCCCTACTGCTGTCCTTTTGTGAAACATTATTTGCATTCTTTCCCTTGTCTAAAGTGCATTTCTGTTGCTTTCTCATTCTTCACCTCTGAATTAAAAATAGACTCAGGGAAAATGAGGTTCCAGCATGGATATAATGATACATCCTATTAAATTAAATTTCTGTATGGTTGTCTACTCCCTGTGAGAGCAGCATATTTAGTACTTAAGATACTTATTTATGCTTGGCAATAATTAAAGTTCCCCACCTGCACATTCATTTGTGATTATGTGCGTAGAATATGAAAACAGAAAGACATGGATGAAAAAAAGTCCAGTTGAAGAAGACAGACAGGTTGGTCTCCAAGTGTATACTGATACAACTGTATTGAGGATATCTGGGGAAAAGGTTTTTGTATAGGAACTGAACTCTGCTTTGATGCGAAAAGAGATGATTGTGAAGAGTCTTACGAAGAAATCAGAGTAATTTTAAGTTGTAGTAAATGAATGCAGGGCAGGCAGGAACCTAAAAGGGAAAGAAAGAAGGAGCCCACAGGGAAAAAGAAAAGAGAGAGGATCAGGAAGAGGGCACTTGCGGGCTCAGTTCACACAGGCTGCAGTGGAGGATGTTTGTAGCTCACCAGAAACAGATGAGAATTAAACTGGCTCCCAACACGTATGATTTGAGCTCTCCAACACAGCCCCGTATGGCTCTTCGGGTATTCCTTGCAAGAAGCTGGGCCCTTCCCCAACAGCACCTCCTGTCTCAGCAAATGACCACTAATGCCATCAGACATTTTTCATCTGCAGCTTGATGGTGGGGGTCGGTCTCTTCTCCCTGGTAACAGATGATAGGACGAGGGGGAATGGTTTGAAGCTGTGCCAGGGCAGGTTTAGGCTAGACATTAGGAAAAACTTCTTCACCGAAAGCGTTATCAGGCTCTGGAATGGGCTGCCAACGGAGGTAGTAGAGTCCTCATCCCTGGAGGTATTTAAAAGAAGGATAGACGAGGTGCATAGGGACATGGTTTAGTGGTGGGATGTCAGGGTTAGGTTAAAGGTTGGACTCAATGATCTCAAAGGTCTTTTCCAACCAAAGTGATTCTATGATTCTATTCTATGAAAGAGGGCCTCCATCTGTGCAATAGATCTTAGCCTACTACTACCATTGCCAACAGGGAATTGCCGTTTTGCAGAGACAAGAACGAAATTTTACCAGCAATCTCAGGCCCAAAAGCTGCTTGATAAAACTCCAATCTTCAAAGGTCTTTTCCAACCCAAACCATTCCAATTCTATGATTCTGTGCTAGAAATTAGAACCATAGAATAATAGAATTATTTAGGTTAGAAAAGACCCTTAAGATCATGGAGTCCAGCTGTTAACCTAACACTACTAAATCCGCCACTAAACCATGTTCCTAAGTGCCACATCTACACATCTTTTAAATACTTCCAGGTAACAAAATGGAAGTCCCATCAAGATTCGAAGTGAGCTCATGATTCAAAGTGGATGCACAAATGTCAGCACACTGAATAAGCCTATTGGTAATGTTGAAACCTGGATTGCTTTGCAAAGCAAGCGCAGTCAAATGGCATGTTGTGGCACAGCTAGATGTAGTTTTATACGTAGAGGAATACCAAGTATATTTTACAAGGTGGGAGACACGTGCTGAGGCATGTCAACTGCCCATGACCTTACGGAGCAATTCTTTGGCAAAGTGTTGGAAGGGAGATGTCAAGTGGCAGAAGGAAAATTATTCCTGTTACATATGGTACTCTTTATGCTGTCAGAAACATATACCTGGAAGAGGGACTGGGTCAGCAAGCCCAATTTTTGCCATTACAGGGCCTAATTTGAGCAGTGCTTTTCTGTTGAATTACTAGAGAGTGTGCAAAGAAGAGCTGCAAGTAAGGAGTTGGGGAGACATTCTTTAGCTCAGTCTTCTTACCATGTTGAGGACAAATCACAACACAACTGAACACAACTAATTGCTGTAATTGTCCAGCCAGGCAGAAGATGTAATTTCAGGAGCCAAAAGATTAATCCAGTAACACTGCCCTCCTCTGCAGAGAACTATTCATCCAGAGTGTACCTCTCAGGTGAACATCCCTTTGGTCTCCCATTACTACTAAACTTTTAAGAATAACAGGAGGATGAAATACCAGAAAGAAAGGATTTTTCCAACTCACGTTTTGTAGATACTGGTTAAAGTTTTGGGGGGTTATATGGCTAATTTTATCACTAGACCTCCTCACCTTTCAGAGGAAGCCTCTGTCAAGCATCCCATTTTGCAGGTAAGAAGCACAGAGAAATGGGATGATTCATAATCATTCAGCATCTAGAAAAGGCAAATCTGGGAACAAAAACAGGGTCTCCCAGTCCCATTGTGGTCTTTTGCCCACTAAACAATGCTACAAGTATTATATCATAAACTGTGACAAGACATTAAGCAAAGAGAAAAAAAGAAGAAAGCCATGATGTCTGGCTCTGCCATGCTATGTTCTGAGTACAGATCTGACTTCCAGGTACCCTCTGCTGCCTGTGGAGCCTAGATTCAGGCCTTCTACTCATCTCCACATTCAAATTCTCCCACAAAGGGTTGAATGTTCTGTGGTAAATCATCAGTTGGACAGAAATGTATTCTACTACAGAAATATAGGATTAGTTTTCCAAATCCTTTACATTTGAATGGTACCATGTTAATGTTGATATGCTTGTCTCATAATGTTCTCCTCTATTGACACACAACATCATATCTTTCCAAATCATTTTGAAACTAGGCAACAGCCTACAGCAGATGGTCAGAATGTGAGGGTCCTTGAGTCCCGGGGTTCCTGCACCCCTCCCAGCTTTTGCTTCCCATTCTGCCCGAAAGTGATGAAAACAGATCACCATTGTCCAGTGTATGTCTTGTTGCCCAAGAAGGATTAACAATCAGGTTGTGAGGAAGGCTCAGGTTCAGATGGCTCCTCTGCACTGCCTTTCCTGAGCATCAACATGGTTACAAAAAAAACAGGGGGTATCCTGCCCTTTACTAGACAGAGCCAAAGGCCTAAGAGCATCTAATTTTTTGTCCGTGTCCCTTAGAGATATCTATTGGGTGCATGTTGGAGGGGACTGAACACTCAGCACTAACACAAGCTCTTTGCCCGAGCACTAGTCCTAGTCTAGCTGAAAGAGATGCCAGAATGGTATTGAAAAGTCTTGTGCTGCATAGAATTCTAGCGGTCCTTCTGTGTGGCTCCATAGTCACAGCTGGACTGTCATCTGTTCCAAACACAGTAGGAAATGAAACTGAGGCATTTTTTCATTTTGCTGCCTGGAAGTCATCTGACTCTTCATGCAAAGCAGAGGTTTCACACCCTTCTGTTCATACAACACCTTACACCAGTTACCCAATGATGGCCTTGCAAAGTCATGTCAAATTTCACTATGACCACTGATTAAAGGTTTTTCCCTTTCATTTTTTGTTTTATGGGTACTCCTCAGCATGCTGGCTGAGTGGTTAGGACGGAACTGCTCTTACCAGCCCAGCAGATCTCTGCCAGGCTTTCGTTTCTCTAAAACTCAGTGGCTTCCTCTATAACCAGTGCCCAAGAAAAGCAGCTCAGGGTTGGAAAACCCTCTCTGAGTTGTCATTTTGACCTTACATCACACTTCACCTCTTAGCCTCCCTTTCCTTTAAAGCAGCAGAAATAATTCCTTTGATTCCCCCTTCACAATGCTGGGGGGGCCAGGGGTAAGGGGTTTAAGTGATTAAAGTTTGCATACGCATTGTTCCAGTGCTATGTAATTACTCAATATTGTTATTCACACTACCGCTATCTGTAAAGTAGGTGTCCTGATAATCAGGCTTCATGACTTTGCAACTGACCCTTACGAACACACTGTAAGACTAGTATTTTTCCCTACCACAAAAGAACTCCACCATTCTCCTATAGGTGTGGATAATTTTCATCAGTGCTACACATCAAGGAGGATATAGCTGTCTCCTCCTTTTACCCATTGGATCTCGGTGATTTAGAGGATGTTTCCAATGATCGTTAGGGATAATGTTGTCACAAAATAGCTACTTATTTTTATAAGGAAAAAGAATCGGGGCACGGGGAAGTTCTGAAATTCTCAAAATGAACTCTTGACATTTTTCTAAAAAAAAATACTCCATCCTGCCCAATCTAAGCACTTTCTGGAAGTGCTATTGTTTGAGAGAACTGGAAAACCAGTACCATTTCAAATATGACACAAGCAACACCCTCTGGCCTCCCTTACATACTCCTGTCTGCATGCAATTGGCAATGGGAAAATGTATGTTATTGATCCCTCTTCCCACTCACAAAATTTCTCACACACATTAGCTGCTGAGACTTCCAAAGAAAGGGAAAGAAGAGGAAACTAACGCCCAGTGGTGTTAGACATCTAGAGAGACAGATGTCCAGATAGATAACAATCTGATGGGTACAACTTCGTGATTA